CATTGTCTCATGCGACGCGTGCGGTCGACTCGGCAAAAAGAGGGCAAAAAAAATCCATGGATGACCTGGGGTTACTTCGCTGCTGGCCCCAGCGTCTTCCATGACCTGATAAAAGCGATCCCTCCTTCACCCTCCTCACGTCCAGACGAGTTCTCATGTCATAATCATAGGTGCAAGAATGTAAGATGAAACGTGAGGTATCTATTTAAAGGCATGGAGTTGATAAAAAAGCAAATATCAAACATAGAACTCGAGTCTGGATCATTATCCTATTCTTCATCGAATCGCTATTTTAAAGAAAAAAGAATAACTAGAGAAACCAAAATAATTTATTGATAGAAGTATTTCAGTTGGAACTAAGAGAGAAGATAGTAATAAAATGTCACGTCTGAAAAAAGCAGAAATATTTAGATTCAACCTTCGTAGCCTTTTGGATTTAGAAGTTTATCTATTTTTTTTTTTTTTTTTTTTTTTTCGAATTTTTCATCTTTTTTCCCTCTTGATAATGCTGTTACAATTCATATTACACGTTATATTACAAGTCATATTACAATTTTATCCAATATATGAAGATTAGGTATAAAATATCTATTTAAATGATATTCTCATATGCTAGAGATGCGGGTTGCAAGTCTGAATATCGGATTCCATTTATTCAGACTTCGTTTTTCCATTGTCACCACGTATCATCTATTTGAATGAATAAATAAAATTCTACCATTTAAAGAAACGATCACCAAGGGTAATGCTAAATTTAGCTAAATTTTCAAGTAAATGATAATCATCTGTTCAGAGATATGGAGGAATAAAATTAGCATTAACAGTTTTCTATGTTAACAGAAAAATTTGAAATTCTATCGTTTATTAATTCGCTTTCGAAGTTTGAAATTCTATCATTTATTAATTCGCTTTTGAAATTTGAAATTCTATCATTTATTAATTCGCTTTCGGACATTTCTATATCAATTTTTATTTTGAGATCAGAGTATCGATACCGATATATAGAATATCAAAGCATGATTCCTCGGCTTACGTAAACCTTGGTTGCCTATCGCACCCCGGGCGACGCTCCGAGCGCGTCACGAATATTACACACTGTGCTTTTATCCCGCAATAGTGGTTTCCGCGCTCGAGAGTATCGGCATACTTGGGCATCACCCTCTGTAAATAAAAGGCCTCAGGTATCGGACTTTGCTCGACCTGCTCAAGTTTCATATCGCGCGTCATCACGTCCATTACGCAAGATCGCAATCTCGCGTTCCTGCCATTTTCAAGAGCTTTCTAAAGATATTTTTATAAACGCGCCACTTCGTAAAATAAATTTTATCTTTTATTTCGAATAGTATTTTTCTCTCTTATTTATTTTCCAGATCGGTCAAAAATTATATATATTTTTGCTCATTTAATTTCGTTCCCACACTGAGAAAAAAATCTGGTTGCATATTAATTAGAATTCTGGTAGATTCAACTAGTATGTCTGTTGAAAAATGGACGAACCAGAATTCTTGTAGGAATTACCAGATGAATCTGATTAATTTCTTTCTGTTAAATTTACCAAATTTTCTCGTTAAAAATATTAAATTCATCAGCACAAACTCGTCTAAAATTTTTTTCATCTAATTTCAAAAATCTGTGTAATATTCTAAATTCCAACAAGATTATTGGATAAATTCAATCCAGATTATTGAATAAATTATTTTAAATTCAGTTTGTTAGAAATTAAACTGATAAACAGTGCACTGAGAAAAAATCTGGTTGCATTAATTACAATTCTGGTAGATTCAACCATGTCTGTTGGAAAATGGACGAATCAGAATTCTTGTAGGAATTACCAGATGAATCTGATTAATTTCTTCCTGTTAAATTTACCAAATTTTCTGGTTAATAATACTATAAACTGACCAGCACCACCAAGTCGTCTAAAATTTTTCCATCTAATCTCAAAAGTCTGTTTAATATTCTGAATTTCAACACAATTATTGCATAAATTCAATGCAGATTATTGAATAAATTATTTTAAATTCAGTTTGTTAGAAATTAAACTGATAAAATGATGCAAGAAGAGGATGCAGCTCAAACACACAATCAGAAACCTAGCGTCCTTTCTGGCACTACTGCTCGTAAGAGAAAAAAATATACTTTGGATTTAATGTTAATACTTCTTAATATACATAACGTTAATAGTTCTTTATATACATTTTATGGCAAATATTGAATACGAGTTAAATTAAGAGTGGGTCGCCACGACAAACAAAGAAATTAATATAACAAGAAATTTTATAGATCCAACCAGAAAATACTAATCAAATCCTTAAACGTAAAATCTATTAAACGTTCTAGTTATAAAAAATTGAGTTTTATCATGATAACTAGAAATTCTTGTTTGATTTAACCAAAATGCCTTCAATCATATACGTCTTGTTGATGCAATCGATTTTTACAAGTGATCGATCGATTGATACAAGCGATTTTTCTCAGTGCCCTTAAAATCGATTAATTTATATATAAAAAATTGTAGAAAAAATATAAAATATATCTTACTTCGATTTCCAAGATTAGTTTCCTTTCATTTATCGATCTTGTCGAAGCTAATCTTGGAAATCTAAGTAAGTTATATTTGTTATGATCGAATTAAATTTGAATTGCTTGTTTCTGAGAACACAAAATTCTGTGCGCTATCTTCATTCATAATTCTTTGACATTTAATTTAACAAGTAACATTGTAAAACGAAACCTCAAATAAGCTTGAGATTAAATAAAAAACAAAAGATTTCGCGCAAACAATTAAAGGACCGAAGTGTAATTAAGCGATTATTTATTTAATTCGGAAAAATGAGTAATCGGCGTGTTCCTTGCTTCCGCCAATAAAACTGACTGAAGAGTTAGGAGCAGGACACTCGATATAATCGAGAACTCGGCGAAGAAACTTAGGCCGAGACGCCGCGCTGGCGAGACACGCTCAGAGACAGAAAAGTTTTCCCCGGATCAGGCGGAATCTGCCAAAAGCCAGTTTGCTCGCTTCCGTTGTTTCTCGCCACCGTCGTTCCGGATGGCACGCGGCTGCTATAAACCGCTTACAACACTAAGAAAACATGTGCACGGTACAACGGTTCCATTAAGGCCTCCTTATCGCGCGAGAACTAAATATAAAGTCCGGACGCGCGATGCACTTGGCGAGCTAAGTGGAGAGATTTATTAGTCCTACAAATAAAACTCCTCGTAATTGTTGTTTTTTACTTGCTATTATTAAATATTTTTTTTAGACACCGAATTAATTTATACGAAAAATATATTTATTATACTTAGGGGAATATTTGATAAAATATACATGTTAAATAGTTGATTACAGAATTGGGCCAGATAGGTAGTTTAATTTGTTTTTGCAATTATGCAACTATTTATAATGTTAAAAAGTGATTTTATTTGGTATCTAAAAAATTGTTAATTCTGTTATTTTAATTATCTTTCATTTTATTAATTATATTAATAGAAATATCTTTTTTATTTTACTTTTACTTAAGATAATTCCGTACTTGTTAATATTAAACATTGGACAAGAAATAATTCTTGAAAATTCTGTCAATCAAAGTACGATCTGTAAATTAAATAATATTAAGATAATATATAGTATTAAGAAAAACTTGTTAAAATTATGAGTCCTTTTTAGCCGATTAAAATTACATTTTTTTTATAAATTGCTTTCATAAATATATCATTTGAAGATATTAAAAATTTTTTGTATCATTAGAAAAATATTTCTGTTGGTTTCTCTAAATTATTATCTTTATAATATCTTTCATTGGAACTAAATAAATCATATTTTTAATTTATATATAAATTATATATAATTATATATAATTATATATAATATATTATATAAATTACATATAATTATATATAATTTATTATTAATTTATATATATATATATATATATATATATATATTATATAAATTACATATAATTATATATAATTTATTATTAATTTATATATATATATATATATATTAAATATATTATATATATTATATATATTATATATATATTATATATATATATATATTTAATTTAAATATAGATATATTAACATATAGAGTTAAAGATGATTTTACCAGAGTACTTTAAACAAGAGAATATTTTAAGTCTAGTGTGAATGTGCCAGAGCGATTAATCTATGGGTTAATTTAGGGCGATTAAACCACTCCAACAAATGACAGAATATGCAAAGCGAAAGAGGTTTTAAACGCCAAACGCATTGTTCTCGATAATCTCGGGCCGGGCCGTTAATCGATTCAACGGCTCTCGTTCAATAAGATCGCATTAGTTGCGACTGATAATGATCAGATAACAAACAAGTTGATTGACTGTTTATACGAAGCCCAAGTAATTACCCTAATAATTGTTTACAATGCATGTGCGTGGTGTTTTATGCAGGATATCTACTTTGTTTCGAGTGCACATCGAGTCGATAATGAAATCCTATCATGGATTACAATAAGATAATTTATCGAATCTATAGCTATAATAAATTATACGCGACTTATATCAAGATGCCGAAATAATTATATTTTTTTTATTTAACGCCGAAATAAATAATTGCAACTAAAGATGTTACAATAATTGAAAATAATTCGTCAGAGTTAAATCAGCGAAAATGACGTAAAAACATATCAAAATTTTACTCTTTTTAATTTATTATTATTATATTGAAACCGCAGTTAAATATCTTACATGAGTTGAGAGATTGCAATACATCAATTATAATTTTCAATTGAACAATGTAACATGATATTACATAGTTTCTCTTATCACGTAGAGATTCCGAGAAATATGAGGATATAATGTAAATTTTTCCGAGCTGAGACACCATCGATAGATTCTTTTCAAGAAGAGAGAAGAAATAATCGAAAATGTTGAACGACTTCGACACTTTGCGCGATTCCTTCGATTCTTGTCACGTATCCTGTCGCGGAGGTCCGTGCAATCGAAGTCCGTACTTACCAGGTACCACTGTTCCTTGAAGAGCGGATCCGTGAACAGGTTTTGAAGCGGCAAGCCTCTGTTTCTTTGGCGATGGAACAAGGTGGCCTGTCGCGGACGCGGGCCAAAATCGAAGAAGGGCGGATAATCGGCAAATGCGTAGGACTGGGCGCCAAAGTCGCGCTTCTTGCGCTTCTTTTCGTGCTGCTGCTGAAACCAGTACACCTGCAACCGAAAACATATAATCGGGTCTGTAACAACAAGTTTTCTTGCCTCGCTGTGATCGACTCCGACGACGACTTTGTCATCACATTACAAACTTGGATAACTTGGTAAACTGACCCGGGGCCATTAGCCATCGTTTTGTTATCTCACGACGTACACTAAGTTCTCCACCTGATATTACACGGTAATGTAAACCAGTAACACAGCAAATTTTCCTAAGTGCCTGGAATATGTCATCAGTGTCGTCAGAGTCGATGAACGAAACATGGTTCGCGTTAATGATGTAGATAAATTATACGCCATCTCAAAAATGAAGGGTATTTCAATGTCTTTGATATAAAATTGTTAAAATTTTAAATATAAATTAGAAGTTGAATTTGTAATCACACACAACACTTCACTACAATATAAATCTCGCATTTATTAAGACAAGAATATTAAAGAGGTTAAGAAAAAAGCATTGATATTACATGCACTAAATTATCTCATTTTTCCTGTCAAAATTATTAAGGATGTTTTGTACCTATTTTCAAAATATTGAGAATTTAATGAAAATTGTGCAGAATGTTCTTACATACGTTTAGAATCTTCAGTACAATTTTTAAATCGATTCACTAAAGCGTTCACAAGTTATAAGGATAATTTGCACCGAATTAACATGTATTCTTATAGGAAATGTTATAACTACGTCGATTCAAATGACAAAAACGCATGAAAATAATATTCAGAATTTGTTTAAAATTTGCAAAAGTTCAGATACAGAGAAAATATTTGGTCAAATAATATTATACAAGTGCTAACTGGTTAAAAAGATATTAAATATAATTCAATGAAGTTAGCCATGTATCTGTCACAAGGTGAAATTCTCTGCCAAAACTTAATCATTTCGATTAACAAAATTCGGAATATTTCAATAAAAACGCAATAAATATTAAAAAATACATCTCTGCACTATAGCTAAGATCAAATTATAATATTCCACACAATTTCTTACTCAAAATACACCAAAAGTGGATATATATATTCGTCAATATAGATTTTCAGCTTCTTTTTGCTGGGCTTGTACATACAAAACATCCTTGAAACGAAATGCAGATTATTAATGATCAAATGTAATTAAATCTTATTAAGGATGTTTTGTACCTATTTTCAAAATATTGAGAATTTAATGAAAATTGTACAGAATGTCCTTACATATGTTTAGAATCTTCAGTACAATTTTTAAATCGATTCACAATTTATAAGAATTTTAATTTGCACCGAATTAACATGTGTTCTTATGGGAAACGTATAACCACATCGATTCAAATGACAAAAACACATGGAAATAATATTCAGAATTTGTTTAAAATTTGCAAAAGTTTAGATACAGAGGAAATATTTGGTCAAATAATATTATAATAATATTATGCTAACTGGATAAAAAGATATTAAATATAATTGAATGAAATTAGCCATGTTCTGTCACAAGGCGAAATTCTCTGCCAAAAGTTAATCATTTCGTACAAAATTCGAAATATTTCAGTAAAAATGCAATAAATATTAAAAAATAAAATCTCTGCACTGTAGCTAAGTTCAAATTTTAATATTCCACACAATTTCTCATACTCGAAATACACCAAAAGTGGATATTCGTCAAGATTGATTTTCAGCTACTTTTTGCTGGGATTGTACATACAAAACATCCTTAAAATATGACTCATATATTTATTTAGCATTTGACAATTATAATAATTTGTTTGATAATTTGAGTATATATATATATATATATATATATATATATATTATTTTAGAACATTATTAGTTGGAATTGTTAAAAAATAAGAATTGGAAAAAAAATAATTCTTTTTTTAAATAAACGATACTAAACAAAAAACTATCACAATCGTTGTTTTTTATCCCGTTGATGAAACAGTTATATAAACCAGTGCTCTGATGCGGAAAATTTATTGATGCAGATTGACTCAATCGAGAATCATAAATCGCACAATCACCGAAAAACGCTTCGGGGAACGAGCTTTAATTCTGACGCGCGTTGCGTTTCTCTCGTTTCATTCATATTGCCGTACTGATCTAGACACGCAATGCGATTCGGTATCGCCGATAGGGTCACGATCCTTACACAATTCTGGCGAGATGCCAGAATCAACTGAATTAGTTTCACGGTCGTATTCAAGCGCATAGGGATTTTAGAATATTCGAAACAACACGATGAGTGTAAGAAAGGAATTTGGTACATATGTTGTTCTACATCGATTATTGAACATGCTAAAATTTAACGATTATGGCAGTCGTGTAGTAAAATAGTAACAGATGTTGCTATCTTCTCTTATGAATTATAAATAGTTTTGTAAATAAAAAATTTTAAATATATAAAAATATAGTAATTGTTAAAAAATAAGTAATTAAAAATATATAAAAATATAGTAATTGTTAAAAAATAAGAATTGGAAAAAAAATATTTAATCTTTCTTTTTTTTAATAAACGACACTAAACAAAAAACTATCACAATCGCTGTTTTTTATCCCGTTGATGAAACAGTTATATACACCAGGTTTATTAAAAATATATAAAAATATAGTTTATAAAATAAAAACTTTTATCACACATACATCATCATTCTTAATAAGGTTGATATATCATGCAAAAGTCCTAATTTTTGCCTAACTTATGTTTATAAATATATATTGTTTAAGAAATATTAAAAAACTATATTATAATAAAAAATCTAAGTGAGACAATGCTTTTATGATCAGATTCTAATTGATACGCGCTAACACAAAATAATATTAAAGTATTGAAAAATATTAACTTTGGAAAATATATTTAAAATGATCTCTATCTTATTATACGAGTTATGTGTTTCAAATATATCCATATTATATTCGAAACATTATATTAATTTTATCTTCGATAAATCGTCGAATCATTTATTTTATCAAAGTCATTTTATTAAACGTGAAATATTAAATTTCTTTGTAAGAAATTAAACAAAATTTCCTTCTGACATAAATCATTGATAAATATGCCAGTGAAAGTAATAGAGAAATGTCTAATGAAACTTATCTATTATCTGAAATTTTAACTTGCAAACTTAGTTTGTTTGATAATCTCAATAGCGAAAGTTAAAATCGAAAGTGAAAACACGAACACGAAGAATCCTTTATTTATTTTACTCCAATTCTGCGATTTTGTAATATTTTATGCAGAATAAAAACGGTGTAATGTAATACAAATTTTCCATTATTTTATAATATAAATTTTTCATTCATTGTTCAGACATAACGAGCTCACTAATAAGTTATTGAAACGAGAATCAATAGATAACAATATACAATTACCGAGAAACTACATAGAACTGCTCTGAATGCAATTTTACATTAAAATATAAATATATGAAAATGTAAATTTTTTTTAAAAATGCCCCACATTGGAATAATGTGTCCTAGTTCTATTATAACATTTTTTAAATTATTTTTTCTGGTAAACTATGCAAAACGTATCAAAAAACTACAAAAGCAAAGATCAAACGTTTTTATATTTTTAAAGAAATAGAGAAGATGTAATCCTTGTAAATATGCAATCAATTTCATCAATTTTTATTGAATTAAAATATGAATGTTTATATTTCAGCGAATTTAATTTAAAAAAATATATTTTAATTATATTTTAATCTCAATTATAGTCAGCTGAGATCTTTTTCACTGGAAGAAAATATCCTTCTCAATATTTTCCAAAAATTAATAATATAAATCTCATAAACAGAATACTTAATAAAAATTAATAAAAAATCGGTGCAATATTATTAATTGTAACATCACTAAATCTTGACAAATTTTAAAAACCGCCAATAAAATCTGCTCGTCATAAGTGTAATATTTTATATTGATTTAAGCAAATGTAAAACATATCATATCGTTTTATCTCTGAAAGAGGAATTGAAAGAAGACATTGTCTCCACACACATAGAGTTCGTTCGTTCAACGTGAGCTGCGTGACGTTTCCGTAAAGCAAGCAATGAAAAATAAAACGTTCTCTTATTTTTTTAACGAACAATTAAGCAGTTAATTAAGCGTGCTGCACAATTAATAAGCAGCCAGTCATGATCGTTGGGAGAAAACGAGAGAGATTTCCCGGTCACGTATCTGCGGCATCGCCAGCAATAAATCTCGAGCGACGATCTCCGAGCGCAACGAGCGTTCAGAAAAAAATGTATCTCTCGCGCGGAAGTTACCTCCGCACATCCGCCCCGTGCAAATGGCATTTTCCTCGCGATCACGTACTCTCCGCGCCTAGTTCATGATTAATGCCATTCCACTGGCTGCATGTGAAGAACTGCATTACTTTCTCTCTATACAGAGTGTCCCAAAAATCCCGGACCGGTCGAATATTTCATAAACTATGCACTTTAGAAAGAAATGTTTCGAACAAAAGTTGTATGGCTTGAAGGGGACCATCAGATAGTGGTAATGATTTGACATGGGAGAGTCATTTGAAAGTCACGTGAAGATCATCGCCAATTTCTTAAATGGAACCCTCTATTTTTTATTACATATTCGTGTAGCTTATCTCGAGAGCTTTCCAAAACACTATAATAAAGTATTTCTTCATTGAGTACTTTTCGAGTTATGAGGCTTGAAATCATTTCTTAATTTTGCATAAACCATAAAATAGTAAAATATTCATTTTTCGATTATCTTAAGTAAATACTTTTATGTACAAAATAATGAGAGGAATCAATTGGTCTAAAGAAAAAACATAGTTGTTTTTAAGAAAAAAATATGTAATTTGTAATGAACAATTACATATTTTTTTTAAAAACAACTATGTGTTTTCTTTACACCAATTGATTCCTCTCATTATTTTGTACGTAAAATATAGTACATAAATAAATTAAGGTAAAATAATCAAAAAATGAATATTTTACAAGATATTTTACGGTTTATGTAAAATTAAGAAATGATTTCAAGCCTCATAATTCGAAAAGTACTCAATGAAGAAATATTTAATTATAGTGTTTTGGAAAGCTCTCGAAATAAGCTACACGAATACGTAATAAAAAATAGGGGGTTCCATTTAAGAAATTGACGGTGATCTTCACGTGACTTTCAAATGACTCTCCCATGTCAAATCATTGCCACTACCTGATAGCCCCCTTCAAGCCATACAACTTTTGTCTGAAACATTTCTTTCTAAAGTGCATAGTTTATGAAATATTCGACCGGTCCGGGACTTTTGGGACACTCTATATCTCCCTTTTTTTTCGCGATATTTTTCTGACCGTTTCGCCTGCCCTTCTTCCGCTCCGCAATTTTCCTCCACGTTGGAGGAGAAGCTTATCGAGACGAGGACAATGGCGGAAAACGCGGCGACGACAATATTGTCTCTCGAAACAGTGAGATATTTTGCCACGTTCTCGTGAGAGCAAGGACGAGGCTTCTCCGAGAGTGCACTTAAAGCGGCCACCAGGTATTTCCCGCACGAATACTAAGATTAAAATTATAGCGAAAAGTTTGAAAAATTCACTGGTTCGCTAGAAAATTTCATGACGCACTTTATGATTTAATAATATATATTTTTTTAATAGATTTTAATAGATTTTATAGTTTTTTATTCTCGCGAATAATATAATAATTTGTAAGCTAATCGCATATACTGGCTTCTTTGCGTGTGCTTACGTGGGAATATATACGCACACGCGGACACAGGAATTATTAAGTTAAAATATATTGTTGTAAAGCGGAATATTCTGCTTCTCTCTTTTACTGAATTATAAAACAATTTTCCGTTTCTGGATGTTTTCACAGCACACTGAAATTCAACGTTTGTCACAACGGTAAAATTTAGATCAGAGCCAAACAAAGAATACATTTATAGTCAATCAAAAAAGGAAGAAACATTTTGCAATCTTTTGTGAGGTGTACCGCTGAATATTCTATCGCGGCGACACAGAATATTCAGCGATAGAAAACTGCATGTAAACTGGAAAATAACTTTTTGAAAGCACAAGGGACATACCGAGAAAAAAAAACGATACTTTTATGACAGGACTATTTAAACAACGCATATTGCATAGCTTTTTCTCAAAATATCCCAGCGCAGAACTCGTCCTTCCCAACGTCAATTCCATCAACTTTCGCCAATGTCCTTCCAAAAATGAAACGACTATTTTTGTACACTGAGGAAAAAATTATCTTGAAATAAAAAAATTTTAGTTAACTCAAGAAAGCTATTTATTCGGTGGGTAACTAATCACGTATTTACTTGTATTCAAAACGTCTGTTTGCTTAAGTTAAGTATTTATTTACATATGTCTAAAAAAATATATATTAAAAGAATATAACTTTTAATTAAATATCTTTATATTTTAATTTTACAAAATATTTATTAAAATGCATTTTTTATTCCCAAGAATTTTAAATTTTTTTAATTTTAAAAAATAATATATTTAATTTAATAAATTATAGTATATATTTTACGAAAATAGTATTTAAATATAAAAAATATATAAATGAAAATAATGTACTTAATATAACATGCATATTTAATTAAAATTAAAGGCTTTTGCTTAAATGAAATAAACAATTCCTTCCATTTAAAGCAAAAGTTTCAAGAAAACAAATTTATTGGATTTAAAAAAATTTTTCCCTCAGTGTAGTGAGATTAAACGCAAGTGAAACAGTTAAAGCAATTGAATTAATATTTTCAAGAAAGGATCTTTTTTATTCGATATCTAAAATTAATTATTCAATATCTAAAATTAATTATTCGATATCTAAGAGAGGTTTTAATATATTTCACAGATTCCGAGATAAATGTACCGTAATTCTCATGTCAACTGCGTTTTACAAGTTTGATAATAAGCAGGTTTTAAATTAACAGAGTACAAGAATGTGCTTGTGTGTCGACTTACCCGTGTTTCATTCCTGAGTGCCTTATGATGCGGTTCACTCACAGTGATAGACCTCTTGTGCAGTCGCTTGTGAGAGAAGAGATAATAATTCTTCAGAGCACCGATCTGAAATGAAAAAATAAAGCATCCTTATTATCTCCGATTCAAGTGCGGTTTGAGAGGATGTGCAGCAGTCGCTCGAACATAAACATAAGATGGTGGAAGGAAACTCGCAAGTTTCCCTCTCGCGACTCTTGGATTGCCTTTCGATGGTCTTGTGACTCGATATCGGTTCGATTGAAGTTCGACAGTAACTTCCCCAAAGTGCCATTTCTAAATTATACGGCGAAACTTGCTGGAACCCGTTGACATTCATCGCCATGTTTTTCGCAGACGATAAATGTTCGCTGACGTGTTCACGCATTACAGACGACGTAATAATTATCTTTAGCGTGCAAAAATGATTTTTTAATCTTTCAACAAATTTCTCTTGAATTTTAATGACGATCAACATAAAGCGATAATATATTAAATTGACATAAGTTCCACAGTGAGAAAAATCGTTTAATTGTAAATCGTTTGATTGTGTGTGTTTGAGCTGCATCTTCTTGCATCACTGTTTATCAGTTTAATTTCTAACAAACTGAATTTAAAATAATTTATTCAATAATCTGAATTGAATTTATCCAATAATCTTGTTAGAATTCAGAATATTAAACAGACTTTTGAGATTAAATGGAAAAAATTTTAGACGACTTGGTGCTCGCGTGTTTAGTATTATTAACCAGAAAATTTAATTGATTGAATTTATCCAATAATTTTGTTGGAATTCAGAATATTAAACAGACTTTTGAAATTAGAAAAAATTTTAAACGACTTGTTGCTGATGAGTTTAATATTTTGAGAAAATTTGATAAATTTAACAGGAAGAAATTAATCATATTCATCTGGTAATTCCTACAAGAATTCTAGTTCGTCCATTTTCTAACAGACATAGTGGTTGAATTTACCAGAATTCTGCAACCTAATTTTTTTTCAATTGTTTATCAATTTAATTTCTAATAAACTGAATTTAAAATAATCTGGATTGAATTTATCCAAGAGTCTTGTTGGAATTCAGAATATTAAACAGACTTTTGAGATTAGATGGAAAAAATTTTAGACGACTTGGTGCTCGCAAGTTTAGTATTATTAACCAGAAAATTTAATTGATTGAATTTATCCAATAATCTTGTTGGAATTCAGAATATTAAACAGACTTTTGAAATTAGAAAAAATTTTTAATGACTTGGTGCTGAAGAGTTTAATATTTTCAATGAGAAAATTTGATAAATTTAACAGGAAGAAATTAATCAGATGCTAATCATTTCATCTGCTAATAATTTCTACAAGAATTTTGGATTATCCATTTTCCAACAGAGATAGTGGTCGAATTTACCAGAATTTTAATTAATGCAACTAGATTTTTTTCTCAGTGCACTGTTTATCAGTTTAATTTCTAACAAACTGAATTTAAAATAATTTATTCAATAATCTGGATTGAATTTATCCAAGAATCTTGTTGGAATTCAGAATATTAAACAGACTTTTGAAATTAGATGGAAAAAATTGTAGACGACTTGGTGCTGATGAGTTTAATATTTTTAACGAGAAAATTTGGTAAATTTAACAGGAAGAAATTAATCAGATTCATCTGGTAATTCTTACAAGAATTCTGGTTCGTTCATTTTCCAACAGACATACTGGTTGAATCTACGAGAATTCTAATTAATGCAACCAGATTTTTTTTTCATTGCATATTCATTAAAAATTATGCATCATAATTTATATATAAATAATATTACATTTGCATATTATTAGATTATTGTCAATATAAAATATTATTTACTATTATAAAGTTTTGGCCGAATATGTACGATCTTATCAAGTTTAATAGTATTAAATATGAATTCGGTTTCCATTAGACCGTTAAGAAGAACAATGAACATGCCAAGAACTCAACGGCGTCGATTAAGCCGATTTTTGCCAGTTACTGGTTACCGATAGGTTTAACATTAAAGCCTTTTGTTTTTGGATTTAACGGCCAGGAAGTTGCTAAATCCAAAATCAACATTAACGAACGACGTGCACGCGATATTGACTACCATTTTGGAAGTTTAACGCGATCCAGAGAGATAATTGGCAGCTTATTGGACGCTGGACGGTTATAATTATGTCTATATGTACGCACCACACGAATAGAGTAGCGTTTCAGTTTGGCGGTCGATGAAAATGATTGTCGATAATTCTAGGCGCAGCAAAAGCCACGCTCCAATAACGCTGTATACATACATATCGAGAATAACTAATAAACTATTCCACTGATCTGATTTTTGGATCGGTGATCTGATATTTGGACATCGTGAGCCTTAATTAAATCAACTGATATTTCTCCAAAATTAGCTTTAGAGTGAAATCAAGGAATATCAGGTATCAATTAAGTCAAATTTTAATATTATTTTCGTCCACTGGGGGTATATTATTATTTCCTACACAAAATTAAAAAACTATCTCTCTTCTTCTTATATATATATATATATATATATATATATATATATATATATATTCTTCAAAATTAGTTTTAGAGTGAAATCAAGGAATATCAGGTATCAATTAAGTCAAATTTTAATATTATTTTCGTCCACTGGGGATATATTATTATTTCCTACACAAAATTAAAAAGCTATCTCTCTTCTTCTTATATATATATATATTTAGTAATGCATACACATTTTTATATAAATTGCTTGTATGTCTAAATTTATATATACAAGGTGTCCCAAAAATCCCAGACCGGTCGAATATTTCATAAACTATGCACTTTAGAAAGAAATGTTTCAGACAAAAGTTGTATGGCTTGAAGGGGACCATCAGATAGTGGCAATGATTTGACATGGGAGAGTCATTTGAAAGTTATGTGAAGATCACTGTCAATTTTTTAAATGGAACCCCCTATTTTTTAAATGGAACCCCCTATTTTTTATTACATATTCGTGTAGCTTATCTCGAGAGCTTTCCAAAACACTATAATAAAGTATTCTTTATTGAGTACTTTTCGAATTATGAGGCTTGAAATCATATCTTAATTTTGCATAAACCGTAAAATATCTAGTAAAATATTCATTTTTCGATTATCTTGCCACTATCTGATGGCCCCCTTCAAGGCATACAACTTTTGTCTGAAATATTTCTTTCTAAAGTGCATAGTTTATGAAATATTCGACCGGTCCGGGACTTTTGGGACACCCTGTATATATCGTGTGTGTGGGATGTATTATTTTGAATATATTTTTCAAGGAAAACAAAAATTTGTTTGTTAAATTAAAGTGCAAAATTGAAAAAAGAAGTAAATAAAGACTAATCAATATCCAATATTGCTTCCCTTTCTCTCTATTAGGATTTTTTCAACATTAAAAAAAACTCGTATCTAAAAGTGCATTATGCAAAAAACGGCACATATCGGCACGTGTCTGTGATTTACTGGCGCATTACTTGGATATTCTCCGACACTTGGAGAAGAAGTCGTGGAGGAACCCGGTTCCCGAAACGGCGCAACTTCCGCCGGCGGGATTTTCCTAGCGGAAACGAAAATCAAGCAAAACTGCATCGCGCCGCGAAGTAGAATCACTTTCTGAAGCTGTTTTTGCGCCGCCGATGCTTTACACGTGTCGCCTACTTGAAATTCTTCCGCGGTGCACCTACCTCCGGAGCCGCGGCTCGAAAATTGAAGAGCAACCCCCGAAGAACTCCGGCGCAACTCGCAAGGGAAAAAAAAAGAGGAAGCGCACGCTTTATTTCGCCATCGAGTTTTATCCGGAAATTTTCGCGGCGAGTTTGAGACACCTATCTCGATGCTCCTCCGGACTTCTCGAAAATCTAAGTAGCCGAAGAGTGGCAAAGTGCATCACTTGCTCCTCTCAATCTCGAGTTATCTTTCGTGTGAAAGAGAATTACTTGCCCTAGTTCTTCTACTTTTGCCATTTTTATCTCTTTAGAAGCAACAGTGTATATCCATGTGCGAGTTTATTTCATTTCAACCTGTAAACTTGTATCCCTGCAATAAAATCATAAAATAAAAAGTAATAAATGATTCAAAATAAATCGTAAATAAATAACTTTTCCGAAGCGAAAATTTGATTGAATATTTTTCTTTAAAATTCATCAATCATGTCAAATATTCTGAAATTCAATGTTTGAATAAAACATCTTTATATATATATATATATATATATATATATATATATATATATATACACATATGTGTGTGTGTGTGTGTGTGTGTGTGTGTGTGTGTGTGTGTGTGTGTGGAATTAATTCAAATCCAAAATTTAATTAATTAAGAAAACCTTTCAACTTTCAAATTATTATAAATATCTTTCTTATATTCGAATCTCCAATCACGTACATAATAAAATATTATTAAACTAAAATTTATCTGAAAATAAAAATTAAAATTCTATTTCATTTAAGGATGTTTTGTATATACAAGCAAAAAATAGCTGAAAATCAATATTGACGAATATATCCACTTTTGGTGTATTTTGAGTAAGAAATTGTGTGGAATATTATAATTTGATCTTAGCTACAGTGCAGAGATGTGTTTTTTAATATTTATTGCGTTTTTATTGAAATATTCCGAATTTTGTCAATCGAAATGATTAACTTTTGGCAGAGAATTTCGCCTTGTGATAGATACATGGCTAACTACATTGAATTATATTTAATATCTTTTTAACCAGTTGGTACTTGTATAATGCTATTTGACCAAATATTTCCTCTGTATCTAAACTTTTGCAAATTTTAAATAAATTCTGAATATTATTTCCATGTGTTTTTGTCATTTGAATCGACGTGGCTATAACATTTCCTATAAGAACACATAATTCGGAGCAAAATAAAATCCTTATAACTTGTGAACGCTTTAATGAATCGATTTAAAAATTGTACTGAAGATTCTAAACATATGTAAGGGCATTCTATACAATTTTCATTAAATTCTCAATATTTTGAAAAGGTACAAAACATCCTTAAAATAATTTTATTTATGGAGATAAAAGATAATATATTCATGTCGTATCTAACAAGCCTATAACAATTATTCATTATATTCTTTTATTACTTTCCACAATCTTTTATTATTTATTATTGCTTTTCGTAACATATAAGTATTTTTATTTGAAGTAGATCGATTTGAAAGAAGAAATGTATAACAAGATTTAATTACATTTGATCATTAATAATCTGCATTTCGTTTTAAGAATGTTTTTTTGTATGTACAATCCCAGCAAAAAGTAGCTGAAAATCAATTTTGACGAATATATCCACTTTTGATGTATTTTGAGT